TCTCTCCCAAACCTTTTTGTGGTTTTTGTACAACCATAGATAAATGGGTAGGAAGTTGATCAATGAACTCGAGCCTGGCTGGAGCTGGGGACAGCATGTGGAGGCACATGGCCAGAAGAACATGGGGCATTGCACAGAGTCGAGTCTTGTCCTGGGTTCAGCTCTAACAGTTATTTTTCTCCTCCCTAGTAGCTGCTGCAGTGCTGTGTTTTTTGCTTCAGCCTGAGAACAATGCTAACTAACACACTGATGTTTTTAGTTGTTGCTAACTAATGCTCACCTGACCCAAACCAGCCAAAGGGGTATTCCATACAACAGCACGTTGTGCCCAGTATGTAAACTGGGGGCAGTCAGCCAGGAGGGCCAGATCGCTGCTCAGGTTGGGCTGGGTGGTGAGCGGTTTTATTCTCTTCCCTTGTTATTTCCTTATCATTATTATTATTGGTGGTAGCAGCAGTGGTTTGTGTTATACCTTAGTTACTGGACTGCTCTTATCTCAACCCGTGGGAGTTACATTCTTCCCATTCTCCTCCACATCCCTCTGGGAGCAGAGGGGAAGGAAGAAGGGGGAAGTGAGCAAGCGGCGGCATGGTCCTGAGTTACCGGCTGGGCTTAAACCGCGACAATTGTTCAGTAACTGACCCATTTGTATTGTTGCTCAAATGGCAAACTTGATAAAGGAGTTGAGCAACAAGTTTGCAGGAGTGGAATTAGGGCCAGAAGTCCTCTATGGCTTCTCTCCAAGGACCAAGAGCCTGTGGCTGCCCCATCCCTGGCACTGTTCAAGGCCAGGTTGGACACAGGGGCTTGGAGCAAGCTGCTCTAGTGGAAGGTGTCTCTGCCTGCGGCAGAGGTTGGAGCTGGATGAGCTTTAAGGTCCCTTCCAACCCAAACCATTCCATGTCTCTATGACCTGTAGTGGTCCAGCGCAGCCACAAGACTGGAAGAGCAGATCATAATACGTGAGGAAAATCTTGTCATTTCTCTGTAAAGACTGTGTCCCAGAAAGAAAAGCCATGCCAGAACCACTCTCAGAGCTCTTCAAGGTGCAAAAAAGGTGTAATGGCATTGCAAGATGAGAAATAGATTGTTGATAGGACTTTTCAACTGGCTTATGGGTTTGTTATTAGGCTGATGTAAGTGCTGGGAGCTGCTGTGTCGGTGATGTCCTGGGAGATGCAATATGGCTTGCCTTGAAACTGTGATGAAAGGTGTGCCGGGTTCACAGGTTTTAAGTCCAGACAGGGTTTGCAATGCATCCAGGTGCATGATCAGGTCACAGGATTGCTCTGCTATTGCTGCAACAGAAGGCTGTGATTTTTCCATGCTTTATTTAGGAGCCATGTAGTGCAGAACCTGATCTGAACAGCAAATCCTGAGTTTATAGCTTTGGCTGCTGCTCAGTGGCACTGACATGTATTCCTAGTGTGAGTAGGTGTTTAGCTCCCAGGCTTTGGGTCTCAGCCCATCCCCAGGGCTACTGTACTCCTTGATGTTAGACAACCTATGAAGGTGATTACGGGAGAGGAAGATTAAAAAGTTTCCTAATTCTTTCTCTGATAAAGCAAGTTCTCATTCTCTCGCCTTGAGTTGTTTGGTAACGGTGTCATCCAGGCAGCATGTGCTGGACCTTTTTCTCTGAATTCTGTCTAAAAAGACATTCTGCTCACAGCAAAGATGTGTGCTGCAGTTTGGAGTAACTCCAAGGAAGGAGATTACACAACCTCCTTGAGCTTTTGAGGAAAGACTGTTTGCAGTTGGATATACATTTGTGTTTGTAATAACCTCACCCTGGGAGTTTGTGGTTAGCTGACCTCTAAGCGCTCTTCCAAATTGCTGTTAAACAGATAGGACCTTCACTGCAGAAGAAAGAACCACATTCAGCTTTTCCTGTACCTTCCCACTTTTCCCACCCTAAGTTTTGCCAGGGCTGTTTCTGAAGGTGTGCATACATGGCCAAGGCTTCTGCAGTCTGGTCCTCAGGTCAGGACAGCTCACCACGTCCACTGTGGCTCTGAGCGTGCTGGTGAGCTTTGGGAAAGCCCAACTATGTGGCCAGTGTGTGCACACTGTCATGGACAGAGCAAGCCTGGAGCTTCCTGGAAGTTTGCTGTGCTCCAACAGACCTGCATTTTCAGCGCTCAGCTTCTCCTGCAGGACCAGCTGCTGAGCTACCAGGCCCAGCTTTGAATATAAGAGGTACCTGCAGGGAGCATGCGCTGCTCTTTTGTGAAGCTCTTCTCTGCACTTCTGTTTTGCCTCCCTTGCATGGTTCTGCTGGCAGCACTCCTGGATCCCATTTCCTAGCACACATGTAAAGGAATGCAACAAAGCTAGAAAATGCCTCAGACACTCCCCAGGTCCTCAGGTGGGTGTCAGTGCAGGCAGCATCTTGTCTCTGCTGGCGAGAACAAGGGTCACTGGGTGCAAGAGCAAAAGAGCACGATGACAGCTTCCCGGTATATTCTGTTTGCAGCTTCCCAAGAGGAGCATGACACACCTTGGCCAAACAGGGAGTCCCGGGCACAATTCCTCTCATCCCAAAGTGTGTTTCTGGAAGGAGGGACTCTGCTGAGTTTGGCACACATAGATCAGAGCATGGGCAGTTTGGATATGTTTTCTTGCAAACATTTCATTCACTTTGCTGTGATCTAGACAGAACTTGAGGTCTTCCCACTGTGAAAACTTATTACATACAAATCATTGCTTTGGATGTATACGGGGAGAGATTCACCTCTTCCTATATTTACGATTTTCACAGTCTCTGCAGATGGGAAAAGCCTAATTTGGGTTTTTGGTGTGTGCATGTGGGACATGACATTACCGCGTTGCTACACCATTGCTGGTGTGTGAAACAGGGCTTTACCCTTCATTTCTGTCCTGTTCCTTGTTTTGCACCAGTCCCTCTGCTATATATTCTCTTTTTCTTCTATATTACATATAGAAACTACTCATGTATTTTCTTCCTCCTCTCTGATCCTCCAAACTCGCTCTCCCAGGAAAAAGCATCATCCAGATCCTGCCAGCAGTGAAGACCCTCGGCCTGGGCCCCTCTGATGTTCCCAAGCTCACCGAGCAGGTCTGTGACTCCACGATTTCAGGGGATATCAGGAATGACGAGCAGGTCTTCCCATTAGCGATCCTATATTCCAGCTCCTGCTGTATGTGTAGTAGCTGTTGGGGAAGGCATGGCAACCGCAAGAAGGTCTGGCAGCAGAGACAACCATGGATTGCAAGCCCAAGGTATCAGAGACAGGAAAAACATCGCTAGGGGAAGGAAAGCTTTTAAATGGAGGTGGTGAAACCTTTACCATGTTCCTTCCAGAGAACTGTGCCACCTGCACGGGCAGACACATGGTGGTTAGCAGGACATTTCTTTGTAATTGTAACCCTGAGAACTTCTCTCCAGCTGGACCCAGGCAGAGCTGGACCCTTGTTATCATCACTGTGTGCTTATAATCAACATTTTGTATTCAAAACCAACAAGGTGGAGGCATTTATTCCACGTGTGTGACCATCCTGCCTGGGGAAATGGCTGTCTTGGTGTTGGAGGGCTGACACATTACCCAGGAAACACAGTCAGGACAAGGCACTGTCTCCTACCTCTTTCTGCAGTGAGGACTTGGGAGGTAGCTCTGTCACAAGAGAGGAAAACCAAGACAACTTTGGAATTAAAGATCTTACATGTGTCTGCAGGGCTCGCTGATTTCTTTGTTTTTCTTAGCCTTCCTTTTAAGCAAACCAAGATTTGTGTTCAGTGGTTGGGCAGATCTTGAAAGTGTGAGGGGAGCGTAGCTGGAGACTCAGAAACCAGAGGCAAACAAACAGCGAAATGTGCTGTTTCACGTCCTTGCCATGCCTTGACAATCCCATGATGACAACCCCATGATAACAACCAATATATTTTTCAACTCAAATACTCTCTGAGAGCTGCAGCTCCTGGTTTCTGGTTCCTGCCTGGTTTTGTCCTGTCTTCTATGTGTCAGAGGATAATGTCTGTCCTTTCTCTACGCAGGGTCACTGTAGCCTTCCCCCGTTCCCCACGTGCTAGGGGCCCATGGAGCAGCACAGTTCCAAGCCTTGTTGCCCTGTCAGGGCCCTGGCAGCCCAGCGGGTGTCCTGTGGGATCCCAGGCCATGGGTGGGCAGCACGGGGCACTGGCTGAGATGGGCATGACTCGCCAGCATACCCCCCATGGCAAAGCACTGATGCTGATCCTGTAGCCATGGGATTTTACCAAGCAACTGCTTCATGAGCCCTCACCAGAGAGGCTCCTACTCCACCCACAAGCTTTACTCATGACTCTACGTTAGGCTGCCACCTTCTGTCTCCCAGTCCCTTCCTTCCTTCCCAGTTGTGCCAAGGGGAGACAGAAACTTAATATGATTTTTACGTGCTTGGTATTTATTGACTTAATGGGGTCTTGGGAGTGATAACCCCTGCCAGATGATTAATTTTTAGCTAATGCTTGTGATTTCCATACCAGACAGCTTATGATTTGCTTTTTTGTGCTGATACGTTTAGCTGTGAATCATGTTTTGGACACTCACTTGATGTACCAGAATTGATGCCAAATGTAGATGAGTGCATACGATGTATTTTATTGCTGCCCAACACACCCATCTTCACTATAGGATTTAAATGAAAGATGTCCCTAGACTTCAAGATGCAGCTGCCATTCTCCAGTGTCTTCAAAGACTGACATTCCACTGCTAATTAGAAACAGCCTAGTTTATGCTCTTGTGCAAGTCTAGAAGGAGATAAGGAAAGTTTTGCTAAAGATTATGTGAACTTGCTAATTTCTGAGCAGTTATAAAGGATAATGAATTTTAATTTGAAATGCAAGCACGATAACTTCCAGATTTAACACCCATTTGGGATGAAAAGTGAAAGATTTGTCTTGTCTGTGCCTTTAGAGAGTCATAAAGCATCCAGCACCCAACCAAGCCTTGCACACCTCTGAATCTTTTTTTAGTGCCACAGACAAAATGTCATCACCCTTCCATGTGAAGACTTACATTGCTGGAAGGTGTTACAAATAAATGAGAATAAAATCACAGTACAGCAAATAGAACAGTAGACATAGTCTTGAGCTCCTCTCTGGGAAATCATGTGCCAAGGTTCAGTTGAGAGCAGTCAGCTGAGCATGACGTACAGGCAGCAGTTTCCCAAGAGCAGCTCCATGGCACCATCAGGAGTTTCCGCTGCTGGACTGATGAGCAGGGTTAGAAACTGTCAATGAAGCAGAAAAAGCTACTGAGAGGCACAAAGTCTTCCTCAGACATAATATTTCTCCCACATTCTTATTTGACTCCATAGCTAAAACCAGTCACTGGTGAATGGGTGACTGAATACCAGCTGACCCCTTCCAGACTTGTCAAAAGGTACCTCTGGTGACCTAATATCAGACTGCCTTTGGTTGAGGGGTTTTGCAGCAATTCCTTGCTGCTTGAAAAGGTTAAACTTTTAGTAGCTGCTTTTTAACACCCTGGAATTTCACTCTCTCTGGGTTAAGCAAATGCAGTTCAGCTTCCTCCCAGCCTGGTGATAAAAGAGGCACAGGAAGCAGCTCAGCAAATTTTAGTGACTGTAAGACCAAGTTAATAATAGAAATCAGGAAACCTCTATTGTTTGGAGGGAAGGCGAGCATCATCTGGATTTGGTTCCTAAAGAAGGGGTGCAATCACCATAATTTAGTCTTTATATTAAGTCCAAATGTCTTTCTTTAACGGCATCTCTCTCAAACACAGTTAATCAAACTCAGTACAGGAACTGCATGGAGATACTTTGTGGTCTGTGTCTTGCAGAAGGACAGAGTAGGTGATCCCCAGGTATTGTGCTCAGCTATAAATGGCTTACCAAAAGGGAAAATCCAATCCAGTCCATTCTGCTTAGGTCATAGCTGTCTTCAGCAAGTCTTTGCTCTCCCTACATTATTTTCAACTAGGAGAACCCATGCCAAAGACATATCAATAGGAGGACACAGCTGGTGTCCACATCTCTCATATGAAGACACTTTTTTACTATCTTTCAGGATGTGGCACACCATTATTTCTGACTATGTGTGTTTTAAACTATGGTGTGTCAGGCCATACAGTCTAAAAACAACTCCAGATAGACCTTAAAATGCTTTAAAGGGGAGGGAAGGGCCTTGGAGCAGCTGAGCAAGAATTTGGAGCAGGTTGGCTAATTCTAATTGATTTCTTCAAGGAAACCCTTCCTGTGAAGTAAGACTACAGTTGTCCTGGAATAAGGTGTTTAGAGAAGGACCAGTACAGACTGGATTTTCAGGGATTTCCCATCTAATTGAAGAGGAAGAGGGAGACTAGTAAGGGATATTGAAGGCAATGGATTGCAAGTAGACTAGGCTAACAGCACCTCTGTCTCCAGTGGTGTCTGAGTGTGGCTGAATGGATGCTCAAGGACTCTGGGAGGGGGCAGAGCCACTGTGATGACCTTAATTCTTCTATTTCTTTGGGCATGGAAGAGTTTGACCTTGTAGAGCATTTATTGTTACTGGCAGACCTGAGAAAACTCCATACCTTTTGTGCTACTCTCAGGCTCATCATCATCTTTCCAGGGTGAGAGGTCGAGTTTGTCAGTCTTGTGGCAGTCAGTGAAGTTCTCAGGATAACTGTTGATCTTGAACACATCCCTGGGTATCTTTTTGATATGAGTGTTGTCACAGATCACTGTTGACAGCGAGATATTTCTCAGTGCATGCAACTGCTGCAGAGTGAAAACTCCTGGGTTCTCCCACCAGAATCTGTAACAACATTTTCAGAAGCAGTTTATAGTCTTCTTGAAGGCATTTAGTGCTGGTTACTTGGCAAGACGCAATCTGACCATGGTGCTCATTGCAGGGGGGTTAGACTAGATGACCTTTAAAGGTCCTTTCAAACCCAAACTATTTTATGATTGTATGTGAGTCTTTGCTTGGATCCAACCTTCAGGCAGCAGACACCCCTTTGGAAAGAGGTGTCTCCTGAATCATCAGATCTGGATTCTGCCACTCATCTGCCATTGCAGAGAGCCTGCCTCTCCCAGGCAGCATTACCAGGCTGCTGGGGTGCAGTGACTGAGCCTCCCCTTTTGTGCCCTGAGAGCAAATGTCACCTCAGGCAGAGACTACAGCAGATTACCCATGGCCAGGAGCTGGTGCTCCTCAGCCACGAGTCCGTAAGAATGGGCTGCAAAAGAGTCCTTCGGCAAACAGGCTAAAATCTAGGTGTGAGCCTTGCTGGGAGCACTCACTGACATCTTGGAGACAGCAGGATGAGTGTGTTGCACAAAATGTCAGCATTTGTTTTCATAGTAAGTGCCATGGGGAAGGTTTGCTCTCAGAGCTACCTACCGGTCCCCATCACGCAGGTTCCTGAACTGGGTACCAAGGATGCAGGCCAGGAGAGGTCCAACTCTGCCTTGCGGAACAAGGGGCTCTACGATTGCCCCAATCCAGAGGTCAATATTGTCCGGTGTCCCATACAAGTCCAGGAACTTTTTGGCCAGTTTGGAATTGCCCAGCACCTCAGAGAATTCATCTATGTTTTGAGGCTGGGAGAGCCCACAGAAGCGCCTCCAGGCATTGTAACCTGCAAAAGCAGGAACAGCAGAAACACCAGGACCTATGTCTCCCCATCATCCACCTAGGCTCAGAATCTAAACAGACCCTTTGGCCCATAAACAATGTCTGCTTCTTCTCATGGCATTAAAGGAGCTGGAAGACATGATTGTCTAGACAGTCACAACAAATGCCCTGTTTCCAAATGGGCAGTTTGTACACACACACTAAACTGACAATTTGGGTTGTCTTTGCATGTGTCTGTAGGTTCATTGCATCCTGTCGGTTAGAGGTACCTAGTGCTCAGAGTGAATGCACCAGCCCTTGCATTTTTGGGAGGCAAAACTTCTAGGGCTGAGGTCCTAAGAAAGAACATTTGGCTGTGCTTAACCCAAGAGCACCCATTCTACAATGCATGGGAGCAATCAGACCTGTGGGCTCAAGTCACTTCTGCTCAGAGCTCCAGATTGTCTGAAGACACAAAATAATCATTGGTGGCTGAAGAACAAAGCACAGATGGTCTGCCTAGCCCACTTGAAACCTGAGCTTGGCTGCTTCTGTCTGTACCTTCTATACATGCATGTTCTCTCTTTGCAGCACACCACTGTTTCTACCCCTCCTTATTACATTATCCCAACTATCATCTTTGCTTTACAAGCCTTTTGTCCTTTTCTTAAATCCCTCATTAAAAACATCTTTATAATACAGAGACCTTTCGCTCCCTGAGCTGAATTGTTTATCCATCCTTTTCCCTCAAATCAGGATACTGTTTCTTCTCATTGGTATAGAAAAAGCTTAGTATATTAGAATTACTATAAGCAGCAAAAGCAAAAAGAGTATTGTTCACAAAAAATGTGGACTTGTGTCTCCTTACCTGGAAGGCCATGGTCTCTTCCCCGTTGCATGTTCAGGGCTGCGAGATCCAGACCCATTATCTCTGTCTGCTCAAAAAGGTGGTTCTGGAGCTCCTCAATGAGCAGTTGATTCTGGTTCATCAGTTTTGCATGATCAGCTACCATGCCTCTTACCAGTGGGTCGATGCCACCTGCATTCATTGCAAATCAAGAGAAGTACCAAGTTGCAGTGTTGATGGTCCCATTTTATAGCTGAAATAATAGTGCTGCATTAGATATCTTCTCTACTCTGGGCTGTGTGGAGTTTACTTAACTCCATATTTCCATCTCAACATATGTTAGTGCATATGTACATATCTGCATATGCCAGTAGGTGAGGCCCCACTTTAGTAACTAGATTCCCCACCCCTCCTCATCCCTCATCATTCCCTCCCATAGCCCTAAACTCACTTGTTGTCCACCAGGAACTCGAAATCCCTTTCTGCAGAACTACTCCATAGCCTGCCAGTACCCATCATGTACTGATCACAGAATCATAGAATGTTTCAGGTTAGTAGGGACCTTAAAGCTCATCCAGTTCCAACCCTTGCCATGGGCAGGGACACCTTCCCCTAGAGCAGCTTGCTCCAAGCCCTGTCCAACCTGGCCTTGAACACTGCCGGGGATGGGGCATTCATGGAATGTCCAAGGTTCTGTTCAAGGTTTAGTTTTTGCAATTGATTTTGTTTATAATTAGCTATTAGTTGACAAATATTTATTAAAACATTACATGCAATGATGGAATCAATCCATGTCTGTTTGTCTATGTCTTTCATAGCCCTTAAGGAGGCAGTATCAGTAAAACACAGGAAAATTGACTGCACATGTGTATTTTGGTATGTTTTCCATAATTAGTTAGATAACTCATTTTGGAAGAGACATTTGTCTTCCTTGGAAAGATTCGTGTCTGCAGATACCAACTGTGTAAAAGCAGGGTCCCACAACTCCCTTTAGAGTCCTGAAGAGAGATGGCTACCACCAGGAAACAATTGTTCTGTCTTGGCTCAGTTAAACTGGATGCTTCACTCTCTGGCAATGCTTACTAAATACATACATAATAGTTTAGACTAGAGGATGTAACAGTTTAGACTGACCTAAACTTTGACTGACATTTGGTACAGTGACTTTCATGCTTCCTGGAAGAGCATGAGCAGTTGCACCGTTTGAGTGACTGTGAGCAATGCTCACACTGCCAGGTCTTGCTGAGCTGAGAGATGTTCTGCCACCTGAGAAGGAGGTTTAATCTGTTATGTATTCTGGTTGTTTACTGACATGTTCAGATATGAATGTAATTATTGGGCAATGAACAGAGGGACACAGCACTGAAAAACTGTACAAAAGAAGCTACAAAACTGTATGTTCTGATGCAAAATCCTGCCCCAGTGCGCCTGCTTCTGCAGGAGCTGGTGCTTGATAGTGTTCAGTGTTTGGAGTATAACAGCATGTAATTTTTGGCAGGGCTCTTTTTTCCTGGGTACAATGCAGAACCAGTGTTAGGTTGCGTTTGGTGACAAATCTGCAGGGCTGTCCTGCTGCCCCACGTTAGCAGATCACCCATTTGTCTGCAGCCCCTGGGCAGACGTGTCATGAGCACCTTCCAAGCTGAATGGCGCTGTAAGTTGTGTGAGGCCAGTTAAATAAGTGGGAGCTAAAGCAGGTTTTGGCTTATGTGTCTGGGCTCATGTATTTTACCAGCTGACCTCCACGTGAGTGTCTGCTGCAGGGCCAGAGCAGGACTGCTGGCTGTCTCGTGTTCTTACCTTCCATTATAACTCTCCATGTAGCACAAAAGGTCAAATGAAGAGGAACACGGGAGGATGAACCCAGAGGCTGAAAACTGTCATCCAAACGGGATACAAAAGGCTGTACTGATGTATGACCGAATCGGAAAGCCAGAGAAAAAACATTTGAGACTGTAGGATCCACATTCTCATTGTAGCCACTGTACGAAGGGATCCACTTGCTGGTCTCCTCCCCAAGCAGAAGTCGGAGGTAATCTCTGTATGTTATTATCTGAAAAAGCACAAAAGGAGATCAAGTTTCCAGCAGCTACAGCACAAATGCCATCAAACTGCAGAGTATGAACATGGAGTCTGTCCAGTACCAGAGTTTAGTAAGATCTTCAGAAAAAAGAGCTGTATCGATGGCATGAGTTTGGCATACTATATTAAAACTCTTCAATACAATAAATAATTGATAAATTGCTAAATAATGATAAAAAAGCTCTGGATAACCATGCTGTCTCATATGGACTATACTTATTCACAGTTTTCAAATAACTCCACTATATTTCCAAAGCATGGTTCTTTTTCTGGAGGAAAAACCCTTCCTAAGCATGAGGATGATGAACAGCGAGCAGTGATCATCACTACCTGGTTTATGGCGATTACAATTTTTCGACTCTCTTGGTAAAGCTTTTCTCCATCCCAGTGAGGATTTAATTTCCTCAGCTCTGTAACCAGGCGATTGTGTTCTCGTAGGAAGACAGTGTGCAGTGCAGAAAGTCCCAGGTTTTCAGTTACCCGTTTGTCACCTATAAATGAAAATATGTTAGGAATTTTGTGCACTGCTTTTGATTTCAGCAGCAGATTTTTGTTTGGACAGATGAGTAACAACTGATAGCGTTACTGGCCGTATGATCATGGTTAAGCTTCCCATCAGTCACCATTCATGCCAGATATTTCTTTCCAGCACAGACAAAACATTCTCTGTTTAAGCCATGTAGCCAAAACCCTTTGAGAAGAGGCTTTGCACAATTTAAACTACATTGCACATGGTCATTAAGCACTTGTAACTGTCTCATTTTGCGAAATATCTCATATCTGCCTTCCTTTCATACCTCAAAGATAAAACCATTTATACCAGTGCTGTGTATATATTCTTAGGATTCACTTTGCAAGTTTCTCACTTACATATTTTTTTTGTTGTGTGGCTATGATGGACTTTCCCATTCTAATAAGTTCTATGTTTTGAGTCATCAGTTTGTTTCAATTTTAGTCAAACTTCTCGACTTCTCTTCTGATGTAGGTTGGGATATTTGAAATATGAAACATTCAGAAGGTGGTACCAGAGAGACTTAACTGAAATGACCAGAGTGTTTAATGAGGTGAAAACTAAATGGTGAATTCTAGGTAAGAATGGAAAAAAGTAACTGAGAAGTTTTAAACACTGGTGCTTATTCTATTGAAAAGTTCTGCCTTTGAAAAGACATTTTAAAGGGAGGATGATTTGCTGTAACTCTTTGGGGAAATGAAAGCAAAATAATTTTCATGTTTAATTAAACAGTTATTGCTCAATTATTATTATTTTTTAATTTGGGGCGTCGCCTTTCACTTTACACAATCATGTCTTGCAGTGCCTCATACAAATACAAAGTGGCATCAGACACCTGACTGTCATGATCCTGTTTGACTTTTTGGACCACTGAAAACTACTCCACAGATGCACCTTACCTGCTTTAAAACAGGGGATGTTCATACTCTCATTGGTGAGAACACAAACACTTTGTGTTTTATTCTCAAAGGGCAGAAATTCCAGCCCTGCATCAGTAAAATTCTGGTTCACAGCCAACAAACCAAGCTGGTTTGTCTGATTTCTGATGCTCTTTGCCACAGAGTCCTCGCTGCCATACACTGTGCTGGCATCGATGAACGAACTGACAGCGTTGATCTGCTCACGAGTAAACGTCCTGGGGTTGCACACGGATGCTGACTGAACGAACGGCATGCAGGAGTGTGAGCTTGGCATTCGGGGGTCATCGGGGGGAAACTAGAGCAAACAAACATAAGTGATGTCTCAGAAAGTCATGAGGTTTTGTTTTTACTGTCTTAGGATAGCGTGGGATGGAACGAAAGTCAGGGTACCTTAATCGGGAAGCAAGGAGACTTGAAGGTACAGTCAGTCTCACAGTGAAGCTCTGGGCTCACTCCTGCACCACTGGAAGGGGCTAAGTCTATGTCATGGTTCACCCACTGGCCCCAGTGCATGAAGACAAGAGAGAGCTCTTGATCCTGAGTGATGTTCTCGTTGGCTGTGTGAGCAATAACATTTGACACTTTTCGAACCTGCAGAAAATCAAAATGAACCCATGTGACTGCCCCAGTGCCACGCGTTCTGGGTGCTGGCTCCCAGTGGGTGAGCGATGGGCACCCACGGCCGTGGTGCCAGGGATTCCTGCTGCTCTGTGCACCCCAGCCAGCGGCAGGCACAGCCCCGGTGCTGTCCCCCCCTTGTCCCGGCGGCTGGGCCCGGCCACCCCTCCGTGGTGCGATGTCAAATCGTGCCCTGGTGGCACCGCTTCCCGCTGCGGGCTGTGCAAAAACCTAAACCTTGAGCAGAACCTTGAGCATTCCATGAATGAGGTCAGAGGAGAGGACCAAGACCTTGCCACTGTTTCATTTCTGATAGATGCAGTGTCCGCTGCTGTTACCTGGACAAGAATAACAGTTCTCACCAGTGGGAGTGGAAATCCGTTATAGAGCTTTCCTTCACTTGCTCCTCTGGGAACAGACACTCCATCCTCATACACTGCTGGGAGCCAGCGAGCAAACGCGCGGTTCGAGGACCCCAGATGAGAATGCTTTCTGCAGCATCACAAGAGGAAAAGCAAATGCCAGTAATGAACAGGCTTGTTACTTGTAGAGACTAACATTTTGCAGCACTTTAATCCATGTTTGATTACTCTGGCAACAGAGAATTTTGGACATTAAGAAAAGTTTTCCCATGTCATTGTATTAATTTTATTTGGCATTTATATCTCCGTCTCCACTGCTGCTCCACACAGAATCAAGGCCATCGCCAGTGATCAGGGTGGCCGTGCTTTTGCCCAGCTGGGAAGTTATTGATGAAGATCCTTCACCTGGGGGGACTTGTGCCACAGCTGCCCTTCAGGAAGTTTTTCCCCACATCCAACATAGAACCTCTCAAACTGCAATCTGCATCTGTGGCCACTTGTTCTATTGTCTCACACTGCTCGGAAGAATTTGAATCAGTAAACTCAGCAACACTTGTTCAGAAGAACACTAATGCTCATTGATCTGAGGCCCTAAGGACACAGAAACACAGGTTATTTGGAGGAAACCAGTTACTGAATATCAGCTGGTGTTTTAAGCTCTTAAATCCACAAAATCTTGTAATACCTGCCTATACTGAAAAAAGGAGTGGAATACCCAGAATTTACAGCAGTGTGCTGGGAAATCAGAGCATGCCCTAGAACAACTGCCACACCACAGCTGAAGCAATTCCCTTAATTAAGGACCCAGTTCCACCATGGCTCTTGTTTGGGTTGCTGTTACTGTCCCTGCAGGCAGAGTTTTGCAAGATACTTGAGCACTGTTTCATGGTGTGTGCCTCAAGCTGAGCAAGATCTTGGAAAAATGTTAACATAGCACGGAGTCTCCCTGCAGCCCACTAGATTAGCAAGGCCAAGGACAACCCCCTATCCTGAGCCTAAAATTCAGCGTGGGGAGGTTTAGACTAGATATTAGGAACAATTTCTTCCCTAGAGGGTGGTCAGGCAGTGCTGGATTCACCATCCCTGGAGGTGTTCACAAACCATGTAGATGAGGCCTTAGTGACACGGTTTAGTGGTGAACTTGGCAGTGCTGGGGGATGGTTGGACTTGATCATCTGAAAGGTCCTTTCCAACCTGGATGATTCCATGAATCTATGAACACTGGTATCCTTGGGGAGCTGAAGGCCCTGGGGTCTGTGGGTGAACATGCAGACAGACTGTAACACTAGTACCATGACTGTAAGCTCCCTGCTAGTGTGATGCAGAGTTGGCCTGTGTCCTCATATCTAGCACATCTGTTTCACATCAGGTGCACATCAGATGCAAGTCCCGCAGACTGGGTGGCTGGAGTTAGCATACCAGGCAGCAAATCTGTGACAGGACAACAAACCTTGACTTCAAAGTATTAAACTGGAAATTTTGCCATCTTCTGGTTAAAAAAATAAAGTTAACATGGAAATAGATGTATGATCCCAAGTTTGGACCAGGGGGAGGCTATGTGCAAACAGCTGAAGAACTCATTTATTCAGACTAAGGATACACAATACATGAAGCTAGAAGAGGCAAGAATTTAAGTCTTATTTACTTCCCCTCCACAACAGTGGCCACACAGACATACTGATAGAAGAATATTTTCATGTGAACCAGCCTGGAGAAATTAGTATTATGCTACAGAAGAGTGGATGGGTGATTTCCTGGAGCCTCACTCTGAGCAAGAGGCTGGCTGTCATAGCTCCAAAATCTGCTTTTCTCAACTTTTCACCTCCCCCTGCCCCAGGAAGTCACTTCCTTCACCCAAAGAGGTACATGGAGGACAACGGGCTCAAATCTGAAATTTTCAAGAAATTCCATCTTTTTATTCTGCCAGCCATAAGTAGAAATTAAGTATCTGGGGGCCTATAAGAATGCTGGAGAGGAACTCCTCATCAGGGACTGTAGCAGTAGGACAAGGGGTGATGGGTTCAAACTAAAACAGTGGAAGTTCAGGTTAAAGGAAGAAGTTCTTTACTGTGAGGGTGGTGAGGCACTGGCACAGGGTGCCCAAAGAAGTGGTAAATGCTCCATCCCTGGCAGTGTTCAAGGCCAGGTTGGGCAGAGCCTTGGGTGACAATGGTCTAGGGTGAGGTGTCCCTGTCTCTTAAGGTCCTTTCCAGCCCTAACTATTCTGTGATTCTATGATCCGTTATAGGCACCACTAAAATGAGCATTTCACTACTATTGGCCTGTTGAAAGGTACTTTCACAAATGACCTTAAGCCGCATATCCTGGGCCAAAGTACAGACTCAAGACTCCCTTTGCCCACACGCAAATCCTACCTGTTGTTGCACTCCCCAGTGATGGTCCGGTAAACATCATTTTTGGGGCATTTAATGGAACGAATCTGATAGTCACAGCCAGTTTCTTTGGAAATCACTTCCTTATGTTTTCTGTCTAGTAGGTCTGCAAGAGAAACCACGCAAAATAACACCTGCTCTTACTTTTATTTTAGATTCTTGGTATTCTAGGTCAACATTTGGGTGTACTGAATCAGGGCTGTGGATATATATCAGCTGGATTTGAATTGTTAATTTGGTGCTTAAACCCTTGAGTGAATCAGCTCTCAACTGGTGGGTTAGGGAAAATGGGTTGGCATGCAACAACTTCCCACCGGAATATGGGGACCATATCACCACCAGCAATGTTTTACCCTAGACTGGGAACAAAATTATGAGCACACAGGGCGGATAAAGGGCTACTGTTTTCAGCGGCCAGAGTTTCCTGGTACTCAGCATGCCCCAGGTTTATCATGCTTATTGTTAGGCTGGTTTTATCATCAAAGGTATGAGACAGGCACTGCTAAAGATGGTGAATAAAACAGGTGGTTGGTCTTCTCCCAGGGCTGTTGTGCCCCTGAGCCAGGGCAGAGCTTCTGTTTGATATTCCTGATTTGGCAGATTTTCAGCTCTTAGTTGTTTCTAAGACATTCAGGTCTAAACCACATTACCTGTAATGTTGAATCCCAGTTTCCCAGAGAGATGCAGCTTTATTTTGAGGAGTTTCAAAGTGGTTTCCAAGTAATCAGCAGCACGGACTGCAGATCTGGTTCTTCCTACTGGGTCCTTTAAATGCTTCAGGAAATCCATTGGGTTGGCAACTTTTTCCTCTAGTTTTCTCTTTAAGCTGGACGTAAAAGAGTCCCATGAAAAACCTTATCTGAAATCAGACCTCCTCTGTCAGGCTAGGGTGGGAGTACTTAGATGTGACAGCACTGCTGGGTACCAGGCAGGTCCTGCTCACCCAGGACAAGCTGGTTGCTCATCAGCTTTGCACATCATCTCAGACACATTCTGGCAAATGAATCATTGTGATCATCTACTCTAAGTTTAGATTACATCCTTGTCACAGTAAATTTTGTTATATCATGTGAAAAGCTAGATCAGTGGAAAACTGAGTTATTCGGTGACTGGATAAAATTTTACATTTACTACGTCACAATGTATAGTCTGTGAAAAGAGAGATAACCTCAGTCCTGTTTCATCCCTTCCCTATCCCATGGGCCTTTCTTGCAGTGTGAAAAACCTTCCCTAGGATGGGTGGAAAGAGACTGCTCCCCAGAGGCTTGGGACCAGCCTTTGGTACAACATACAAGGGGATACCTGGGGTTTGACTTCCACTGAGATGTATTTGTGACAGGGTACTGATCTGCACAACTATGGCCCTTCCAGAGAGGGGCAGAACTTCAGCAGTCAGAAGAAGACTCAGCCCATACCACTGTGAACTACTGAGAGGCATCTGTGACAGTGTAGGTGAGGAGGTGTGGGTAGCTGCGGGTGATGAAATGTGGCCCTGGGACTGAGATGGGACACCAGAATCCAGCCAAACTGGGCAAAAGGACCTCTCCAGCTATTACAGGGAGAGCCAGAGAAAAAAGGTGTCTCCATAATAAATCATGGAATATTTGGGGGATCTTAAAGCTCATCCAGTTCCAATGCCCTGCCATGCACAAGGACACCTTCCACTAGAGCAGGTTGCTCCAAGCCATGTAAGAGGCATTTATGATCTTAAGGTTCTATCCAAACCTAACCATTCTATGGGGCAGCCACAGCTTCTCTGGGCACCCTGTGCCAGCGCCTCAGCACCCTCACAAGGAAGAGCTTCTGCCTAAGAGCTCATCTCAGTCTCCCCTCTGGCAGGTTAAAGCCATTCCCCTTGGCCTGTCCCTACAGGCCCTTGTCCCAGGCCCCTCTCCAGGTTTCCTGCAGCCCCTTTAGGCACTGGAGCTGCTCTAAGGTCTCCCTTTGAGGAGCCTTCTCTTGTCCAGGCTGACCCAGCCCAGCTCGCTCAGCCTGGCTCCAGAGCAGAGCTGCTCCAGCCCTTGCAGCATCTCCATGGCCTCCTCTCGACTTGCTCTGACAGCTCCACATCCTTCTTGAGTTGGGGACCCTCACCATAATACATTGGATAACAGAAGACACAAGCATATATTTTCTCTTATTTCCTTATAATGTTGGGGCCCTCATGCAAAAAAGAACTCACCTCTTCCGGGCATGTAAATACGCTGCGTCTACCAGCTGCCTGGCTTCACTAATGCTGCTCAGAAGAGATGAGTCTGACAGCACCTCGGAGTCCTCTTCTTACAAAAAAGAAAAAAAAAAATAGAAGAAATTGAGGATACTTTTTTATTCACACCAGGAGCTACAGGTACCACCCCACCGCTGGGTGCTGAGGTGCAATGACTCCATTTACATGCAGTTCCCACTGGACACCTTTATTAATGCTTCTTTTACTCATCTGTTTCATCTCATTCTGAGTTCCTGAAATTCACAGGACAAGAAGTGACCATAAGGCAGTAGTTCATCCATTTCACAGAATTGGCGCTGATGGCTTTGTGAGGCTTTTAGGAAGTCATTTTTCACTCTTCATTTTGGTGCTATTCTTTTCTGTGTGTAGGGAAATGCATAGAAGACAAATATAGGACCCCTGACCCAGTTTCCCTGCCATAAAATGATGATCATTTGCTTGGAAGACCTGTTGGTTAAATAAGCAATTTCCTTAGACAAGTTTCTTAGGTATTGACTTCATCGATAGTGCACCAGTCTATAGGATATTTCAGATTTATATTGGAGTTGTATCTAACTAGGAACTCAGACTGAGTTTTGACTCACACCCTTCCAAGCACAATAGCATTCAAGGGAGAAACAGAAACTTACTATTTAATGAGCAATCCGTTGCCCCGACTAAGCAGAGTGTGATGATGGATCCTAAGAGAGTAATTCTTGGGTCTAAGCCTAGAGAGAAATGCAACATAAATCTTCTGAATGCACATGGCTTCACTGAGATATCAAAAGAGATTGTCAGGTTTGTTTTGGATATTTCTTTCAGGATCCAGGAATAAACCACAGCACCCCTCTGACCAGGTCTGTAAGTGGGACTCTAGCTGGCCAGGGCTGTAGTTGTGGATGCTGGCAGGACACAGGGACATCGCTGTGCTGTGGGACATTTGGTAAACTGGGCTGAGTAACTGCCAAGGAAGAGGCAGCCAAGTACAACACAGGCTTCAGTGATGGAGACTACTGGGAAGGTGCATTGGAAGAGGGCAGTGTCCTGGTGGCGTTTCTCAGGAGAAGAGACCCCAGACATCCTTCTGTGCCTTCTCTGTCTTGTTACTGAGCAAAGCAAGCTGATTTGTCTAGCACCAGTCCTCCAGCCTTTGACTAACTCTATTAGTCTTCTTGATGCTCCCTGAAATATGTCTGTTCCTTATTCACATCAATGCTAGAAATGTGTGTCATCTGTCCACACCAGTGTTCTATACAATGACATAGTGCCTTCCCTGAGAGTAGATCTTCAGCTTAAAGATTAGAATTAGGTATATTTTAAGTAATTTAGTCTATGTTTTAACCATTCAGGACAGGAAAGACATACAAAATTTGGAAGGACTAACAAAATTCTCAATGTGGGGCAGGTTATCTTTCATTTACAATCTGTGGAAATTCTTCAATCAAATTCACAGGGATTGAAGGATGCTTCTCCCTTGCAATTCTATACTGCAAGGTATTGCGCCATGAGGCAGAAAAGTTGCTTTTTCTTGCTTCTCAGAATGAATGTATTTCATATATGGGGAGGGAAGTTAGTATGAAGGACCACCAGCTCCTAACACTGTACTGTGCCCTCATCTCCGTGGGCTCCACCATGGAACGCACCAACACCTGCACCAGAAATACCAGATCAAATACATATATAAAATGAAAAAGTACTGATCTTACCTGCCATCTCTGCAGAGCTGGAAGGACTGGGGAGCAAGCCAGTCCTTTATAGGACCAGGGCAAAAATTAGCCTGATCTGACCTGGGTGGAGCCAAGAAGGGAGAAACCATGACCAGATTGAGCCAAGAGGAAATATCTGCAGGAAAGATTTGCTTTCCTGGATTAAACATAAAGGTGCACAATTCTCCATTCCTTCTGAGTAAATGTTGACTTAATTTGACAAATCAAGAAAAAAGGAAAAAGAAAAAAAGGCACATATTTCTTTTCTGCAAGTCAAAGAGGTCATCTTAATTTCATGATTGTGAAAGATGATGGTGGAATTTGGCTTCTTTTTCCCCATTGGTTGATGTCTCTGATGGTTTGGGAAGCCAGAAACGGGTCATTTTGCCAACATGTATTTGTGGAGTATACCAAGGTCCAAATACAGCATGTCTAAATAGTGGATCCAGGAGAACCAAAGTTGTGTTTAATTTAAAACTGCTTAGTGAGATGGTTTGTGTAGTTAAAAAATAGTCAGATCATCAGTGAAATGCATTTTAATCAAATGCTGATCATTGTGGAATGGAAAGACTGGACAACGAACAAGACAGCCGTCTCCAGTAAAATTCAATGCATAGTAATATGGACAATCACAAAGTTATACCTGTGCAAATAAGAACGGGTCTGAAGTGCAAAGTGGGAGATTACATCCTGAAATGTCTAGAAAGGAACAATGCGTTGGCCCAGTCAAGCCCTTCAGCATGGATTCCCGCAGTTATACAGCAGGGAAAAGAGCTGCACTTCAATGGACAGATGGGAAGGTAATGGAAATAATTCAGTTCTTAGAACATCAGTCAGGCTGATCACAAAAGACAATGCTGAATTCTTACTGGCAACCAGCCATGTAAATCTCACAGAATTAGGCAGCCAATCCTTCCTACTGTTTAAATATTTGCACAGTTTTTATTAAGCCAAAATAAATAAAAAGAAAATAAGAGAAAGCAAACTGCTAACAAACATGTCTGGTTTTCAATTTTGTCACCAAAAAAAAAAAAAAAAAGAAAGAAAAAAACCCGAACATTTGTGAAGGTCACATTTTCAGAAGCTGAAAATACAATGCCAATACTTCTCCCTGCAGGAGAAATTCCAACCCCAATGCAGAAGCTGAGCCTAGTATCAGAGGGGCTCTGCTCACCCTGGCAAGTGCCCAACCTTGTCCATCCAGGTTTCTGCCTACAAAATGTACCTAAGCTGAAGTCCAGGTAACTGAAGCGTGGTTTTGCTATTTCTTTTGTCTTTGTGACACATCATTGCAATTGCTTTAGTGTCTCAGTGACAGCCTGGTAATCCCCGTTTGCCCTTGGTACAGGTACGGCACCTGCCCTTGAGGGCTTGTGCTGCCACTTACGGGTGGCCCAATGCTGCTCCCAAGAGTGGAGTCAGTGGCCATGCAGACTTTGCATTAACATTACATGTATCCTACCGGTTGCTTGTGTCTGGGTATAAGTGCGGCACACAGGGCTTGCACGCGTGCACAGGCAGGCTGTCTTACGTCACCTCTAGCTAGGGTTTATGGTATCCTTGTGCAATCTTTGGAGCTTCAAGAGAAACCAGGTATCCTGCCCACCAAGGCTGATGTTCATTCAACAAAGTGTACATGATAGCTGCCAACCAAGCAGCAGATTCCTCCATCAGATCTCCTCTTTGTCTTGAGTGTTTAGAAGCTGCATATTTCTTCTCCTTCAGGCTCTTGGTATTACTAACATTACTTCTTGGTATTACTGTTCAGGCTGCAGATCTTCACACGTAAACTCTAGTGTACCTGTAACAACGCATAGATTATTATGCTCCTTATCTCCTGTCCTAATGGTAAAAAGCAGCATTCCCTGTTTGACACAGCTTGATTTTCCCACAAGCTTCTTCAGCATTCATTTTCATGACACAGATACGTTGATGCTAGTAAAATACAGGTGTGAACCACAATATCTCAAGTCTAACAGTGATTAAGGACTTATTTTAGGTACAACTTCAAATATACAAAGTTCCTTCCTGGCATATTTTTCCTATGTGTAAAAATGTGGATTATTTACATAATCCTGAGAGGCAACAGCCTGTGCAAGCCAAGCCTGTCCTTGCCAGGGGCACAGTGGCATGAAAGAACCACTGCAGGCTTACAGAACAGTGTGTCTTCTGCTCCAACAGATGCAGGGCAGAGCTTGTAAAGGGATGGAGTGAGCAGGATAAAACAGAAAAAAAAAAGTAAGAAATAATAGTTTAGAAGTACAGACATTGTAGGGGCAGTAGAAAAGCAAAAATTCCCAGCAGCTCAGGGATGATATTTAATAAAACCAGTTCTTCCAACTTTAACTATCTCTTTATGAAGAAGGCCATCTTGTTCTGTGCTCAAGGCCAAATACAGCCTTTGGACAGAAGAGAAGTTTCAGAAGATGATGCCCAGGGGAAAGCTGGTGATGTGAACACTCTGCACAGCTCTTAGTCCAGCTTTCTGGAATAGCACTTACAGACTCAAAGGTACATCCAGGGTCTGGAAACACGCTTGCTACTGGTATCTGCAGAATACATGAGGGGCCAATGCCAGAGCAGCAATGTGGGTTGTCAGCACATGAAAAACTGAGAAGTTCCGGGCTAAGAGATTATTTCCTCTTTACTTCATCATTCTGTAGAGCTGTAGCTCTCACACCTGCTGTATCTCTGCCACCCACCGAATCTCTTCCACATAGGGCACTTCCCTTCTGCCCATGGTTCAACCAGTCCACCCCTATCAGCCAGCACCTCTGGAGGAGGGGAACTGGCTCACCAGGAGAGTCTAGCTCTCCAGCCGGGGACTCGTGAAGTTTGCTGAGAACAAGCCCTCTATTCCACACCTGGAGCTGATACCCATCTTGCAGTAGCTGTGCATGTGCCTGAGGGCCCTATGACCACGGCATGGTTAGCTCACTCCTAACTTCTCTCAGTGGGACAGTGTTTGTGACACTCTGCACAGCAAGGGATGCTAGGGAGATGGCAACACAGGGCTTTCTAGCTTCACACTAGGAGTTTCTCCAGTTGCATGATGCCAAGGAGTGAGATTATTACCTGTCTTTGAAGTCCTTTAAAAGCTCACCGCTCATCGACACCCAAGGCTATGAAGCCTTCTTAGCGCAGCCCTCCTTCAGCCATGGAGAGTACCTCATAGCCCACCATGGAGAAATAAGTGAGCCCAACAGACTGGGCAGTGCCATCAGTGAGTACAGACTGCTTCATGCCTTTGCCCAGAAAAGACACCCATGGGTGACCATCTATGGAACTCCTGCTGCTTGCAGCACTCTTGGCAGTCCCTATCGTCACTGGGACTATGCCAGCTCAAAATGACTCAGCAGGGCAGAGCGTTCAGACATAACTCTGTCCCAAACAGTAGGTATAGTTCCCAGGGCAGGAAAGCTGTGGAAGGTCTTTGGCTTTCTAGCACAGTGGTAGTGCTAGAAAGGCTAAAAACTCAGCTTGGAAGGCTAAAACATGACTCTTGTCCTGATCAGCACCTAGCATACCTCTTCCTTATAGATAACTCTCACTATTCCCCTTCCCACAGAGCAAACACCATCTCCTCTCCATGAGTCTAAATACCTCCAAAATTTTCAGCTCTTCCTCATGAACCAAACATCTTCCTGACCCATCTTTTAATAAAACCCTTCTTCCATCCCTTCCACTTTTCTTTCAGACTGTGACCCCATGCTCAGACTGGAGGGTGGGAGATGGCTCCTCTGGAGATAGGGTTGGCAGGTCTAGAAGGAGACCTCAGCTGCCCCTGAGGGTCAGGGCCTGGCACCATCTGCAGCCCCTCCTGAGCAGCAGGTCCATTGGGTCCTCCCTTTGCAAAGCCCCCCGGAACCCAACTCCAGTGGGGGGCAACTGCAACAGGCAGCCCATGGGCACTTCCAAGCCACTGGCTCCAGGATGAAAGCAGCAGTGCAGAGGTTCCGCTCAGACCACACTATGCTGCAGGAATCCTGCTGCAAGGAAGGGCTGGCAGCCGGCCCTTTCCGTGCTCCATGTGCAGTACACCGTGGCCTTCGGCTTGTGGTTCAAGCTTTAACCCAAACAAACCATTTTCTGGAACAGAGCTTCACTTCTGCCTGGCTTGTCAGGGACAGCAGCACAGCGCCCACAGGCTCCACCGCCGTCTTGGCCGCATCCTTATACAGCTCATGATGCAGCTGGTCTGACCTGCCAGGGATGAGACCTGGAGGTCATCGTCTCTTCCCAAAAGCTGCAGGGCTGCAACAGAATACCAATATCTCATGTGTCCAGCGTTGGAGCTGGTCTGAGCACCTGCTTTCCAACACATCAATGCATCTGAGCAGTGGACACGCACGCCTGGGTACCATCCATGCCTGTGGGACTGTGCCAAGCCTACCTCAGTGTCAGGACTCTGGTCCACTCTGGCCAGTGGAGGAGGGAAACCAAACCGCAGCAAGGCAAAGGCCAGGCAGTGAGGTGATGCAGACAGACCCTCCTTGTGGCTGGGAGCTGAGCACAGGAGAGCAGCTCCTACACTGGGAGGTTTCCATCCAAACAGCTCCCTGCAGGTAAGTCCCTGTGGGAGAGGTGTGAGGTGCCAGTGACATAGTGAAGCACTTGCACAGCTTTTGGGCATAACTCTAGGAACACAGTGAGAGGGCTTGGGATATTTCAGGATGGGTTCCCAGAACCAGCTCCAGCACCAAACCAAGGACAGGCTTCCAGACCATCCTCCAAACAGGGTATTTCTGCTTCAAAGAGGGGCCAAGGTCACTACCAGACCTCGCTCAGCAAAGATTTCCTCTTGACAGTCAGCTTTTCTTCCTGTCTCTAAATCCCCTCTTCCAAAATCTGAAATGCAGGGAGCAACCTGGTGAAAACCACACCAGTCTGTAACATCATCCTGACAGCCACAGGACAAAACATTGCCTGCTCTGTGTGTCAGGCTGCCTCCATCAGCCAGGTCTGCACCTGTTTTTACAGACAGTTACTGGGGGGAGAGGGGAGTGGAGGAGGCTGGGATGTTCCCAGTCTGGAAAAGGAGGTTGGGGATGGCCATCTTGGGATGAGTTTCCTGTTGGATGCAAGGAGACAAGACGGGACATAGACATCCCACCATGCCCATCCCCCATGACACCACCCCGGATGCTGTGACTGGTGCCTGGTTCCCTTTCCTAGCACTGCTGGGATGCTGATCTCCACATCACCTTAGCTCTGTGCAGGGCCAGTGCTGGCAGTAACAGTGGTACCTGTGCTGGGCGTGCGTGGGGGCCAGGATGACAGAACCCATGTCCAGGGTGGAATCAGGTCCTGCTCCATCCTGTGAGGCAAGGCAAGAGCCCTGTGCTGCTGAGGAGCCCTCCAGTGCAAGGTGCTGTGATGGCCGAGCAGTGAAGGTGTTGGACTTGAAATCCAATGGGGTTTTCCTGCGCAGGTTCAAATCCTGCTCACAGTGGGAGCTTTTACAGGCAGCCCCTGCTCTCTTGCTCTCGGGGGGACAGACACAGACCTGTCACCCCTCATCAAGGGGTCCTGCAATCCCACCCTGTCCCTCATCTCGCAGGGAACTATTACTGTTTAGGAGAGGGGCCGCAGCCCTGCACCTCTACGTATCTCAAGAAGAAATCCTGCGATAGCATGTCCACTCCACACAGCTGGGTCACCCTGATCTCTACAGCCGTGTTACCCTGTAGTCAATCACAGGCTTGTGGCTGCCCTCCACCAGTGCTATTTTTTTGCTGGGGGTGCAGCCTGATGCCAGTGGGGGGACAGGAGGCTGCTGCCACCCCCAGATTCATCCAACCCTGACCCAGCTCCGTGAATGCGTGTGGGTGCTCCTGAACGCTGCGCTGATCCCTAGGGAACATTCAAGGGCAGTGCAGCCACCCAAGAAAACGTTGGGACCTGCAGTTGCTGCAGAAGCCCCTTTCTCAGCTGGGAACTGAACTAAGGCCACAGGAGTAAGAGTGCCGAATCCTGACCACCAGGGATGAGGTGGTGACTGTGGCAGATCCATCAGTGGCCACCAGCCAAGCCCTGAAGGGACAGGGACACTTGGGCCCCACAGCCCAAGGAGAGGACCAGATGGGGTAGATGTCACAGCCTTCCTGGGGACTTTGCAGGGATGCCTGCTCCTTTCTGAGAGCTGTGGCACTGGGAAGACCCTCTGTGCAAGAGAACCCCATCTCTGCCAGGCCTGGGGAGCAGGAGGTGGCTACGCCAGATCTCTGATCACCTCAAGAGGCAGGTTTGGGGAAGGCAATGATAGCCAATGGTTCAAGAAAAGATTTTACAGTCCTGTGAGGATTTACGAGGGAGGTTCAGTCCTGTTGATGATAGAGCATGGACCCCACTGCCAGGCTTGCATGGCAGACATCCCACTGGCCACAGGTGACCCAGCTTCATGGACACAGCAACCCTGACTCCCAGTGCACAGCCAGGGTTCTCCTGTAGTGACCTCAGGAGAAACAGAAGAGTGTCAGTGCAAGCTGGTTGTTGTCAGCAGAGTCTTCTCTGTTCTGGGGAAACAGAAGTCTGAGCCCTCATGCTGACAGAGGGAGTGTGTCTGGAGTCCCCTTTGCTGCTGGTTTTACAGCAATGTTTGCATCCTGTTTTTCTAGGGGAAAACAGCTGGCTGGTACCATCGTCTGAAACTTCATCTGGAGCTGCAAAGAGTAGGTGACCCTGGCTCACAGAGGGAGCAGAAGGAGCTTTTGCCTTCATTTACTCCACAGAAGGATGTGGGCTCTCATTAGGCAGGGCCTGGGGAGCTGTGCTGATGGAGGTCATGGGCAGCAGCATTGCCTGGACATCCTGCAGCAGTGCTGCTGGTGATCCTTCATCCCTGTCCTGCAGACTACACATAGCCTGCTTCCTTAGCCCCATACATTTCACTTAAGAAAATAAGACTTGAGAATACACTTCACTTGAAAAAGAAAAAGAGAAAAAGAAAAAGAAAAAGAAAAAGAAAAAGAAAAAGAAAAAGAAAAAGAAAAAGAAAAAGAAAAAGAAAAAGAAAAGAAAAAGGAAAAGGAAAAGGAAAAGGAAAAGGGAAAGGAAAAGGAAAAGAAAAAGAATATGAATAAGGAAAAAAAAGAAAAAGAAAGAAAAAGAAAAGAGAAAAAGAGAAAGAAAAAGAAAAAGAAAAAGAAAAAGAAAAAGAAAAAGAAAAAGAAAAAGAAAAAGAAAAAGAAAAAGAAAAAGAAAGAGAAAGAGAAAGAGAAAGGAAAAGGAAAAGGAAAAGGAAAAGGAAAAGAAAAAGAAAAAGAAAAAGAAAAAGGAAAAGGAAAAGAAGAAATAAAGTCAGAATGGAACGGGGCAAAACCAAAACCAGACTTCTCCTCCACCACCTGCACTCATTTCCTGGCTTCAGCTGGGATAGAGTCCATTTTCTTCCTAATAACCGGTGCAGTGCTGTGTTTTGGCTTTAGCGTGAGAATAATGTTGGTAACACACCAATGTTTCAGTATTTGTTCGGTAGTGTTGCATTAAGAGCATAGAAAATTGGCACAAAATCCCTGCTGGGATCCATGCAGTGCTCCGAGATCAGGGGGGCTGGGGGCGGCTCGGCTGCATCTCTGATTACCACGGGCCACGATCATTGAGGGCTGTCACGATTCCGGATTCACGAATAGCGCTGTTTGCTGAAGCAACAGAAACACAGACTCGAATTGCCCTTGATACAGTCACTAACTGCATTAGCACTAAAATCCACCCCACTGAGCAGCCCATCTCCCCCCATCATCCCATCAGGGGGTTGCAGCCTCATTAATCCCTTCACCACATAGCTCATGGCCTCAGGTCTCATTCCTACAGGCAGAGCTTCCCCCTAACCAAGGGCTTTTTTGTCTCTCATGCTCTGCCAGCACAAGGAGCCAAGAGAGAGCAGAAACAGGACACCTGATCCGAACTAGCCAAAGGCATATTCAGTGCCACAGCCCGTCACGTCCTGGGTAGAAACGAGGGGGAGTTATCCAGAAGGGACCGATTGCTGCTCCGGGACAGGCTGGTCCTCGGTCAGCAGGTGGAGAGCAATTCGGTTCTTTTCTTCCCTTCCTTTAGTTTTATATGTTTGCCCTTGTTATTTTCCTTTTTATTAGTAGTAGTATTATATTATACTTAATTCTAATTATTAAACTGTTCTTATCTCAACTCGTGGGTTTTACATTCTTCTGATTCTCCTCCCCATCCCTCCCAGGGGGCAAGAGGGAGTGAGAAAGTGGCATTTAGTTACTGGCTGGGTTTAACCACAGCAACTCACCTCCTAGAAAAGAGGTTTCCTGCTGAACAGGAAAATGGAGAGGGCTTGAAATGGGCCCCCCACTCCCCAGGTGGTTGCTGCCAGCATGGGCAGCACGACAGGGCACAGACCCCAGGGGACAGTGCAGGGCTCAAGGTAACAGGACAACTGTCCCCTGTCCCTGCAGTACCCAGCACAGCGGGGTTCAAACCGGGGGCAATGAGCGCTGGCACAGAGGGTGACACCCTGGGGTAAGGCAGGAGAAGGCACTGCAGGGCTCCCGAAAGGACGGACGAGCTGTGACGGCGATGCAGATGCAAGAAAGGGCTCCAGAACATTTCCCACAGAAGACGGCAGAGGGCCCGGTGCTCCTTGAATGCTCTGGTGTGTTTGGGAGGGGAAGTAAATGGACAGCGGAGAAACCTCCCTGCGGCTTGCCTTGAACCATGCAGCTCTCTGAAACGGCCAGGGCAGCTCCTCCCTCCACCTGAGGCCAAATCTCAGCATGGTCCCTAAGGACCCCCGCAGCCCTTCTACGACATGGCCTGGGGATGCAGTGGGCATAGAGGTCCCCTGTCCCCATGGTGCCCCGATCTCTGCCCAGGTTCCTCTGCAATGCCTGGTGGATAGCTGTCACCGGCTTTGCCACCACCTTTTCCCTGAGGACCTGCACTGCAGGGAGCAGGAGAGGTCAACGGGAGGCAGTGGGTAGCTTTGGAGAAGGGCAGAGTAGGGCAAGAAGAGGAGGGAGGAGTGTCACCCTCCCCTAAAGCTGGCCCAGAGCAAGGGCGGAGACATGATGAATGGTCTGCCGTCTTTCCAGCACTCTGGCATCTGCTGTGATGGTCAGGGCTGCAGAATATAGCTCCAAAAACCTGCACAGGGCCAAACCCCGGAGAGAGGGGCAAGGCTGGGCCATGCAATAGTCACGTGGGATTATCATAAAATTACAGAACAACTAAGGTTGGAGGAGACCTTAAAGATCATCTGTTTCCAGTTCCCCAGCCACGGGCAGGGACACCTTCCCATTATGCCACCCCTTGGGCACTTGAGGTGGATGAAGAGGAGCTGTGCTGGGCTGAGGCACAGCCACCCTGTGCTTTCAGAAGATATGCAGATGTCATGGTTTCGGTTGCCTTTACAAGCTGTAACGGGGTGTGAGCTCTGGCAGCCTTGCGGCTGAGGGAGCCTCAGTGTCTCTCTGTGGTTTCTTAGATCGCTATCTGGCCCTATCAGTTAGCTTGTCACATACAGTAAGTTCCTTCCTCTACCAGCAGGTCTGGGCACACCAAAACAGGTCACACAGCAGGACAGTCTCCACCTGTGACTGCAGAGGAAAGGGACATGAGTAACTGCCACCCACCAAGTGCAGCAGGGAAGTGATGCAGCCCAGGAGCTGCCTGTTGGACCCCAGGAGTGCGTGGGGCCATGCGTTGAGGCAGGCGGTGGGCACTTGCCCAAAAGGAATCTCCAAAACCAGGGACAGGTCAAGGCTCAATACAAAATGCAGTAGTTATTGTAGTGAGGAGACGAGTCTGAGACACGTCACCTTGCTTTGCACCCCTACATGGATCTGGGGCATGAGAAATACATACACAAATCAGCCAAACAATAGGCTAATTGCAATACTGGAATTCATGCAATATAGCAGTACCAGCAAACAGTCTCTTGGCAAATTCCAGCTGAGATTTTTGTTCTTTGCAGAGCCTGACTACCTGCTAGCATGCTACTGTGCTGCTCCAAAATGCCACCGCTGCATGTCTGTGACAGTCACAGAATCCTAGTGTCACAGACTGGTTTGGGTTGGAGGGGACCCTAAAGCTCATCCAGTTCCAATCCCCTGCCATGACAGGGACACCTTCCACTAGAGCATCTTGCTCCAAGCCCCTGTGTCCAACCTGGCCTTGAACACTGCCAGGGATGGGGCAGCCACAGCTTCTCTGGGCACCCTGTGCCAGCACCTCAGCACCCTCACAGGGAAGAGCTTCTGCCTAAGAGCTCATCTCAGTCTCCCCTCTGGCAGGTTAAAGCCATTCCCCTTGGCCTGTCCCTACAGGCCCTTGTCCCAAGCCCCTCTCAAGGTTTCCTGCAGCCCCTTTAGGCACTGGAGCTGCTCTAAGGTCTCCCCTTGAGGAGCCTTCTCTTGTCCAGGCTGACCCAGCCCAGCTCTCTCAGCCTGGCTCCAGAGCAGAGCTGCTCCAGCCCTCACAGCATCT